ACCACCACCACCACCACCACCACCACCGCACACACTGGCCTTTACACTGCCGCAGCTTCTCCTGCCTCGTTCCTATGACATCCCACTCAGTGCATTTACTCTCCGTCACCTTGCCCATGGGCCACCCGCAACACCTTCCGTGCAGCTGAGAGCTCCAGGACGCGCACCTTGACAGCTTTGGCCCATTTTCATTTCTCCATTCCATCAAGTCTTAAAGAACTTGGAGCGTATGGCTCTTGTTCTCTAACCCTTGTGTGTTTATCATTGTAGTTACAGTGTAAAATCCTGGAGAGCAAAGATTGTCTGAAACTTCTTTCAGGCCTGGGATGGTCACACAGATAAAACTAAGGCAGTTTTCTCTCTCCAGCGATGCCAAATAGTTTCTTCTTCTGCACTTTGCTTTGAATGAGTAAATTATCCTGCATTTCATCTCATGTCCTATAGTGAAACTATCTATTTATTACATCTTTGATTCTGCTTTTAATACAATTAGTTATGTGTAATTCAGTGAAAAAAACAAATCAGTATTACCTGGTTGATTGGCAGTTCATAGACAAAAAAAAAAGAGGATGATGATTCATTCAATGAGTAGTGTTTCCTATTATGTTAGCTGCTGTTATTATTTACCAGGCACCATACAGGTTTAAGGCTCCTTTAATAGATTTGGTCCTGAAAAAAATGCTACATAAAAGCCAACAAATCTATGCCCTTCATAAGGTCTTCTTTAACTCAACCCTGGCAAAATTCCATTTTTTTTAATACAGAGAACTACTGCAAGAATCAAGCTTCCTGTGTGAGCCAGCCCCCTTTTTCATTTTGTTTTTGCTGGAATTTTTGTGAGTAATTTTATAGGTAAAATCAAAAAAGGAGATAAGATGAACTGTAACAGTATAGCACATAAAAAAATCCAGAAGATGTGAATTGTATGAAGACTGATAATCGTAGATTACCAGTCAAGTGGTATATGGTAATTAATGTTGGCCAACAACCTGTTGACAGAAAAGTCATTTTAGAATGTAGTTTTATTAAAAACAATCAGAATTGGGGAAGGGGAAATGCCTTGTTAACTTTTTTGTGTCGTTGCATCTTTTTTTGTTGTTTATATCATTTTCTACTTCTCATCTCATTTCAGTTATGTGTAGTGCCAGAATGTTGCTGTATTACATAACTCATGTTTTTGTAAATGAGTACTTGTAGCAAGGATAAATTTGAGTTACAGAGTGTTACCTACATATAACACTCGAGCTCTGGGGAGGATCCTGGTTTCAAACTCTGGGAGAGCTGATGATGTACATAGGCTCAGAACTTTTCAGACCTGAAAAGCTGTTGCAATTCTGTTTCTTATCTATTCTTATGGATGTGTCATAACTGTTGGCTTTTTCATAGATAAAATGTTAACATGGCCTTCCAGCCTCCTGAAAAATTGCTTTTTACAATAATAAACTCTAGGAGGTTTCAGATTTGATCTGTTAGCTTTTGGAGTTTTGTTTTGTTTTAATTTTGGCAAGATTGAAGGTTTTTCTGGTGAACTGATTTTTTGAGTGATGGTTCGTTTTACATTCAGTGTGTTTGTAACTCCTGTCTAGTATAATGTGAAGTGTCTTCTTGGGGTGGAATAGTATCAGGCTTACAATATTTACTAATTATCTTGCATCTCATATCATTATATGCTAGTAATTTGTGTCTACAACTTTGAGACTCAGTAGAAAATTAGGAAGATTAAATGAAATAGTAAAATGAACATAGTTTACTGTCTTTAGTTTCTCAATAAATATTTAATTCCTTTCTGTACTTATTATAAGCCTTTTAAACAGATTCTGTGAATTTGCAGTTGCCCAGATTACTACCCATTTCTCTGAGCATTGAAATGGTTGGGACACTACTTGAATTAGGGAAAAAAATATAGATGTGTGAAATATTACTTGATCAAGATTGCTTACTGGTTCCTTGAACTATTTTCTTTGGGTTAAGATTTGATGTCCACCATCTTGAAAAATGGAAGGAACACATCTAATAGATTTTCTTAGCATCTAGCACTCTGTCATATAGTGATTCAATAGAGGTTTATTTTAAATTACATAAAATTGCAATACTTATATTTATGAAAGACCATAATACTTTTAATAGCTAACAGTGTTTTTGTGCTTGGTATGTCCCAAGCATTTCTAAATACTTAACACACGTAAACTTGTTTAATATTCAAAACCCTAGTATCGTTTTATAGATAAGGAAAGTGAGGCCTACAGAGTAAGAAACTTTCCCAGTAGAATACTACTCAGCTATAAAAAGGAATACACTATTGATGCACACAGCAACCTGAAAGAATCTCTAAAGAATTATGCTGAGTGGAAAAAAAGCCAATTAAAAAGTTGCATACTATATGATTCCAATTATATAACATTCTTGAAATGACAGAAACTATGGAAATGAAGACTAAATTAGCAGTTGTCAAGAGTTAGGAGAGGGCAGGGGGCAGGAAGAAGTGGATTTGGCTGTAAGGGGGCGGTATGAGGGATCCTTGTGTTGATGGAAACATTTTGTGTCTTGACTGTAATCAACGTCTGTATACTGGTTATGATAATGTTCTCTAGTTTTGCAAGATGTTAGTTACCTTTGGGGAACTAGGTTATGGGTACACAGTAGCTCTGTATTATTTCTTACAGCTGCATGTGAAGCTATAATTATCTCAAAATAAAGGGAGGGTGGGGGAGGAAGGAGAGAGAGAGAGAGAGAGAGAGAGAGAGAGAGAGAGAGAGAGAGAGAGAGAGAGATGGAGAGAGAGATGTTCCCAGAGTCACACAATTTGGGAAGAGTTTTAGTTGAGTTTAAACTCCAGCAGGCTTGCTCCAGAACTTTTTGGGGTTTTTTGCTATGGTTTTTCAAACATTTTTTATTCAAGATCCACTGTAAAAGCATATTTTTATTTAAAAACTCAGCACACACATCATTTATGTTTATATATCTAGAATATTTTTATCAAAAAACTCAGCACACACATCATATATGTTTATATATCTAAAACAAGAGTGTCAGGAAACAATACATGACCTTACTATGTGGAACATACTAAATCGATTTTATACTGCACTAAGGAGTATGACCTTTATTTAGTTCAAGACATTCCAGTATCCTGTACTGCCTCTGCTTTGTATCCATGTCAGCTCTAGCTACTAAGCTATAAGCAAAAGAACCCTTCCTGAAATTATTCTATTCTGAGTTCTGCTTCCAGCCCATGATTGTTGGCACTCTTTAAAGGCTGAGCCAGTAACCCTGCATCCTCCTATTTCCCTTTAAGTCATCTCTGGTGAAAGCATCTTTTCTAATAAGTGCTGCTATTATCCTTAAGCTACTGATTATCCAACACCGAACTAATTTAATTTACAACTATGTGATGAAAATTATGCTGACAATGTTTCCATGTAAATATCCTTTACTGTGTCCAAAGCCAAGCTGATTTTACCCCTTAGCTCCAAAACAGTTACTCAGTGTTTTCATCATTTCTATTTCCAGTCTCACAGGGCAAAAACCCTGGGTTATTCTTTTTTATCATGGCAAATTATTTTAATTAAGAGCTTAGATCCAAAATTATAAAGAGTCCTGTGTAGTAGCTATTTTATTCTATATTTTAAATATCACTGGATCCTCAAGCAGTTTCAATCTTTTCAACGAAGAGTTTGGAAAATAACGAAAGGTTATTTTAAACTTTCTGTCTTGCAAATTGTCCCAAGAATTAGGAACATAATTTCAACCACATTAGCTGCTAGAATGAGAAGGGGAAAGTAAGACCATCAAATTGTTACAACTGAAAAAATTTCACTGGCTCAAAAGATAATTTTCTCCCCTAAGGAGAAAGAAAGAAACGAAACCCTAACCAACTAATGATTTGGACCTAGAAAAGGGACTCACAATTCACATTGATTTATTTCAGATCTCCATCTGGAGTTTCTGGTAGTAAGCTCATTAAATATGGGTGTTTTCTAAAGAGAGAGAGGAAGTGAAGGTTTCTAAGGCAGCCTGTCCATGCTACTCCCCAGGGCTCCCTTCCCTAAGATTGTCAGACTCCCCTGGACGTGTGGTCTGGAAGCGGCTTTAAAGGAACAGTGTTCACTATGAGCTACACCATACAACTACAGTAAGTCCCCGACTTACGAACAAGTTCCATTCCGGGAGAACATTCTTAAGTCAGATTCGTTCGCAAGTCCGACAAAGTGAATCTTTGTGCTTCCTTGCAGTCCCCTCCACATCACCACTGCTTTTCCTTTCCTCTTGCTTCCAGACATCCTGGGCTCTGATTGATCACTGTACTACTGACTATACATTATCGCACTGTACAGTAAGCACACAGCAGCACAACTGTCACAATGTCTGGCAGACACGTGAGCTACTTCCACGATTTGTTCGCATCTACGAATGTTTGTAATGTAAGGTCCGTTCGTATCAGTGAATGTTCGTAAGTCGGGAACTTACTGTACCACATTAATTTGATCTTTCAGTTCCTTTCAATGCTTAAGGACTTTAATAGTAAGCAAGAGTCACCAGTCACTACCACAATTGTTTTAGACAACATAAAGAACTTATTGTTAAATATACACCTCAGTGAGGAGAGCTTTCTTTGAAAAACAGTTCAAGTCAAAACGATGCAAAATACTTAAGTCTTTTTTTTAAAGCTCACAATTCTTCAATATGAGTTTTGAAAGCTTAATACAGTTGTAAGATGACACTATGGAATAAAACAAATGTGTGTTCTAAAAATTGACCATAATACTTCTAAGACCCAGAGTAAAAATACCAAGGCATGCTCGGCCCGCCACCAAATACCACATTTTCAGTCCCACCTCTGAGGTGCTGGGTCGGCCAAGCGCCCCTCTTCTCTGCTGTGAAGAATTCAGTACTTGTGCTTCCTGTCGACTCCTGTCTCTGCTGGATGGAACCAGTGTTCCTCAGAACTCCTTGTCCTGTCCCCAAAGCAAATGTACCAATGAGAAGGAGTGTGTCATTTACATACTGACAGGTGTATACATTACCTTCTAAATGAGATCTACCTGCTGGGAGTCTAGGACTAAGGTATTTCAGTGAAATGTCTGACTATGTGCATCATTGAGGCTTTGTTACCAGTGAGTCCTGTAGAGGACAAGTGCAGAACGTTAACATCTCTAATGGGCATCCTAAGTTTGTTCTTCATCCCCCATGAGCAAGAGAACCTCAGTTTTATTAAATGAAATTTCAGATAAGTTCTAAATATCACTGCCAACTATACCAGAAGAAGCAAAAGTCCACAGCAAGTGAGCCCTCAGCAAATGACCGATTCCTCATTACGGGTTCTAAAAAAATCTCACAATAAGAAGAAAGTGAGTCTGACTCCAAAGAAGCGAGAGGACCACTGCAGACACACTGCAGGGCACTCCTATAGGAGCATCTGAACTATTAAACTGTTAAATAGTAAGTGCCTAGCTGATAGTTTAAAGAGAAAAGATGACCCTCGCCCAGCCCAGCTAATTCTCAGATGTGAAGTGTACATGAAGTCATGCTGAACTGAAATACAAATAAGTTTAATTTTTCAGAAACTACCCAAGCTCTGCTTTCACGGTACATGGACTCAGTGTCAGTACTGAAACCCACTAGGACTTGAGACTCACAAAACTCCACGGAAGGAAATGAGTCTATGCCGCAAGTTGTAGAATGATCTGACCAGCCAAGGGATCTGAAAAGCTATGGATGAAATAGGATCTGCCTAAACTGATGAAAAAAAATACTGAGTGTGAAGCATCTATACCCATTTAAAAGCATTTGGTGTTGATATCTTAAAGGATTAAGATGCTTTAAAACAAAACCCTTGTAAGAATATCAAAGATTTAGGGAATTATCTTCATAAATAACCAAGTGTCTTTGGCTTCAACTGTCAGTCACCTTCCTTCTGAGGAAGGTGACCAGGGTTCATCCAAATAGAACAATCTTTTGGAAATTCCCTAAGAAAAACCTTGCATAATCAGTTGGTTTCTTAGACCTGCGTCCAGTTTCTTTTCATGATTTTTGTTTGCTTGTTCTTGGGTTTACACTTCTTAAAGGAGGCTGTCCAGGCAGCTGCTTCTTCCTTTAAGCTCCAGCCGAGTAGCATCTCATGTACTCTGTCATCCACGGGTTCTCCGAGGACGAAGCCTTGGTCCTTCTGCTGTTCTCCACATCTACTGAGTGCACCCGCTGCCTCTGAGCAGCCAGTTTCCTCTTTTCCATCTGTCTCCTGGTCTTGGCTCGTAATGCTGACTCATGAATCGCACACACTGGGGCCGACGCACAGACGTTGTGAGTCCTTTGGCTTCCAATGTCCGTCTGCTTTTCTCCCCACCCATACAGGGCAAACGGATGCATCTTCTCTTTTGCTTTACTTGACGATCTTTGAGGACTTCTGACCGCTTTCCCAGCTCCTCTAGCAAACAAGGCACCTTGCTGGTGACAGGGTTCGCAGCTGGGCAATCGGCCGGTCTCATTTGTTCTGACCTGTTGTTCAGGTTTTCCTTTTATGCCTTTCACTGGCGATGCTGGCAGAGACGTGCCTTTCGCCTCGCCGACCTCTGCGTCCCCGGCCTCCGCGTCCCCGGCCGGCCCCTCCGGCGCCCCGAGCTCCGCGGGCGGCGGCGGCGAGTCCCCGGCGCCCTGTGGCGCGGGGCTCCCGTTGCCGGACAACGCCGAGTCGTCCGAGGCCTCAGCCGGGCCCCTGTCGTCCCAGAGCCAGGGCGAGTGCGCCTGCTCCAGCAGCCGGCGGCCCAGGCGGTAGAGCAGCAGCTCGCGGTAGCAAGGCGCGTACTCGTCCCAACGCGGCTCCCGATAGCGCTTCATGTACTCGCTCTTCATCCTGCTGCCCGGGGACATGGTGCCGCCCGCCGGCACCTGTGCCCGCCGCTCCGCGCCACCGCCACCTACCGGACCCGCGCACCACACGACACAGAGGCCCGCCCCGCCCCTCCGGCCGCCCGGCCCGCTGCGACGTTTTCCTGGGTTATTCTTGACTCCTCTGTTTCTTTAAGGTACAGTTTTTAATGGCAGGCCGTTTTGACCCTCTTCCCCCAGATTTGCATAATCCTCTGACACTAATCATCCCCACACAGTTTTCATCATATTACTCCCCCTGCTCAAAACCTAGGCGGTTCCCCTTGCCTGTTTCATGAATATACAAGTCTAGTTTCAGAGACCTCTGTCATCTGCCGCTAACAACCCTGTGTGTTCCAGTTCTCCCAAGGAGGAACTCCCCATTCCATTCTTGTTTCCTTCACCTCACTTTACACACCCATTTCCGTCTTTGGGAATACTTTCTTCTATGTTTTCTGTGATTTCACATTTGGAGTATGCCTCAAGTTCTCAGTATGCTGAAACTTATCATGCTTTTGTTCATATTAGTTTGGTGTTGTCTCATTTGGAGCACAAGTGTACAGTATTCCCGGGATTTAAATTAGGAGTAGAGATTATTCCTGTTTTTTTTGTCAGGTGTGGGGTTTATCCTACTTACAAGCTAAAAAATTAGCCTGTTACTGTTTCTTGAATACTGGCAAAAGACGCAAGATCCCTAAGTCAGAGACAAAGGACTTTGTTACTCATGACTGCAGGCAGCCTGAGCATCCACACATTTGTTTAAGTGCCTCTTCTCCAGTGTCTTCTGGGAGACATTGTATGGCTCAGCAAGAGTCTCCTCATCTGGTGGGTAGTTTGTGCTGCATCTGATGAACACTGAGTTTGGGAAATCCACACTTTTATAGGAAGCAGTAGGAAAGTATCATCTCTCATGATTATCAGCTGCATAAACAGCCATGAGAAATGGCCTGGGAAAGAGTATTCAGGGCCTTGCAGTGCTGATAGAATCCAGTGAGCGCATATAACAGTGTGAGAGGTCCAAGGACAATTGTCTCTCAACATTTTTCAGGTGAGATATAAAGAAATGAGAAATTTCCCCAATATCACTCAGGGAATATGAGAGAGACAGAAAGATCTAACTCTTCTAGATCAAGTTCTAGGTCACAGCTTTTCCCCCTAGTGTTTAAATTATTCCGTGAAGTAAATTGAGCAAAACAAGGAGCTCTTGCATTTGTGCTTATCATCTAAATGTCTTATGTTGCATCAAAACAAAGAAGACTGACTATTGTCCTAAATTCTGAGTGTTCCCAGATGTCTTACAGGTATTCTTCTGTGGTGTGGAATTCTTCAGGTGAAGATACCTGAAGAAGTTTGGGAAACTTTCCAAAACTAAAATTGATATTATAATGTGATATGGGATCCCAATGAAGAGGGAGTCATAGGGAACTCTTGGGTTAACTTCAATTATAAATGGACATCTTTTAAAGATTATAGAATTGGATACCTAAAAGAAAAATACTATTTTTCCTCTACTACACTTGTGACACTGAACGTGTGGCAGTTTTACCCCACCAACCGATTCTTCAACACCTGTTCAATTCTGACACTATCTACCTGGGTTAACGCAGACTCCACAGGGTAAGGACTCACTCCTACAATTCATCCCTTACTTTCAGATGCCCTTTGCAAGTCCAGGTTGTCACCTGTGCTTCTGACCCACCAGCTATATAAATCAGAGGTTTCTATGACCCCCTCCTCAGGTTTGATAATTTGCTAGTATAGCCACAGAACTCGGGAAGAGAGTTTACTTACTAGATTATCGGTGTATTACAAAAGAGTACAATTCAGGTACAGCCAGATGGAAGAGATGCACAGGGCAAAGTATGTGGGAAGAGGCATTATGCCCTCTCAGGGAGCGTCACCCTCCCAGCACCTGGATATGTTCAACCCAGAAGCTCTCTGAACCCTTTTGGTTAGGGATTTTATGGAGGCTTCATTACATAAGTATGATTGATTCAATCATTGGCCATTGATGATTGAATTCAATCACCAAATTGTCTCCCCTCCCTTGAGTTGGGGGACAATGGGAAAGGTTCCAACCCTCTAATCACATGGCTGGTTCCCCTGGCTACCAGCCGCATCCTTAGGGGTTTTCCAGAAGTCACCTCATTAACATAACCTCAGCTTGGTTGAAAGGGGCTTGTTATGAATAACAAAAGATGCTCCTTTTACTTTTAACTGGAGAAATTTCAAGAACTGAGGACAGAAGCCAAATATAACAAAAAATTCTCCTATGGCTCTTATCACTTAAGAAATTACTAGGGCTTTAGGAGCTCTGCGTTAGGAACCAGGGCAGGTATATATGTAGATAGATAGATAGATAGATAGATAGATAGATAGATACTGAGACTGAAAATTATTTCACAGTATCTGACCAGGAATGATTAACAGTATATAAAGGAATGTGGAACGTTAAATCACCAAATAAGCTCACTCATTTCAATGCTAACGCCAATCAAAAAGGTTTTTTTATTATGATGATGATGATGTTTAGAAGTAGAAGAAAATAGTACTAGATTCTTATTGGAGGCTAGCAGTTAAACCTTGCCCTAAAACAAGAGAAAGCAGACTCACCTTTATTTTTAATTATGGAATTTCTCAAATACTTGAAAGTAGAGAAAATAGCATAATGAACACTTCCATCACCCATTCTTCTTTTTTTTTTTTAATAGGGGAATTAGGGGAAGGGAACAGCATTGGGGAATCGGGGAAGGGGAACAAACAAGTTGCTGTCCTTTTGTTCTTCAGTCTAGTTGTGGAGGACATCGCTTCACTGACCCATGTTGGTATTATCATTGCATTCTTCCCGGGTGAGGCAGATAGGTCGCCGGCCACTTGACGGCCACTCACAGCAGCTCTTGGCAGCTCACATCGGGCTGACAGCAGCTCATGCTGGCTGCTGGCCACTCACAGTAGCTTACAGCAGCCCACTACTGCCTAGGCCATTGCCTGCGACTCACGGCAGCCCAGCTCCAGGTTGAGCTGTGTCACCATCTTAGCTGTAGAGGGCGCAGTGTCACTGGCCCTAATGTGGGATCTGAACCGGGGCACTGCTGCACAGAGCTGGCGTCCCAAGCCAACTCTTAACCAATGGGCCACTCGGTCAGCCCACCCATTCTTTTTTACTGGGTTATTTGTCTTGAGTTGTCAGAGTTTTTATATATTCTGGACACTGGATCTGATAACCTAAGGGTTCTAAGACTATTGATTATTATTTCTTTTTTTAAAGATTTTACTGGGGAATTGGGGGAGGGGAACAGCGCTGGGGAATCGGGGAAGGGGAACAGACAAGTTGCTGTCCTTTTGTTCTTCAGTCTAGTTGTGGAGGACGTCGCCCCACCGGCCCAAGCCGGCACCATCACTGCGCTCCTCCTGGGCGAGGCAGATCAGTTGCTGGCCTCTGAACAGCCGCTCACAGTGGCTTCTGGCCGCTCATGCTGGCTGCCGGCTATACACGGTAGCTTATGGCAGCCCCCTACAGCAGGGGACTGCAGCCTACGCCCTCGCGGGCAACCCACAGCAGCCCAGCCCCAGGTCGAGCTGCCATTCACCATCTTAGCTGCAGAGGGCAGCGTCACTGGCCCTCACATGTGGAATCCGAACCGGGGCCCCCTGGCGTCCAGAGTCAGCTCCCAACCAACGCGCCACTCGGCCAGCCCTCTGACTATTAATTATTTTTAAATGAGGATTGAGAAAGTTGATGATTCTTTTGTACAAATACCATATTTCCCCATGTATAAGATGCACCCTTTTTTTTTTTTTTAAAGATTTTTATTGGGGAATTGGGGGGATGGGAACAGTGCTGGGGAATTGGGGAAAGTGGAACAGACAAGTTGCTGTCGTTTTGTTCTTCAGTCTAGTTGTGGAGGATGTTGCTTCACTGGCCCAAGTTGGCACCATCATTGCGCTCTTCTCTGGCGAGGCAGATCAGTCGCTGGCTTCTGGACGGCCGCTCACTGCGGCTGCTGGCCGCTCACGCTGGCTGCTGGCCACACACGGTAGCCCATGGCAACCCACTGCCACAGGGACTGCAGCCCACGCCGTCGCCGGCGACTCATGGCAGCCCAGCTCCAGGTTGAGCTGTTGTTCAGCATCTTAGCTGTGGAGGGCAGTGTCACTGGCCCTCATATGTGGGATCCGAACCGGGGCCCTCTGGCATCCCAAGCGAGTTCTTAACCATCGCGCCACTCGGCCGGCCCAAGATGCACCCTTTTTGATCTGTCAAATAACCAGGGAATTCTGGATTACCTACTATTTTATTACATATGAATTATTCCCACTTTAACAAAAATTGGGTATAATGTAACATACTTAATATTAACATAATGTTAAATATAATTTAATTTTCCCTCAACTGTTCATAAAACATTTCAAGATTTCTCTGTATGAACATTAGTCATTTTTCTCTAAAGAGATCAAATGAAGTCTTGGTCAGATGATTGGTTGCAGAGCAGTGACTCACTGTTACTCTTAGCTATGTGTCTTTGGGTTCACTTCCATCATCACTATTAACTAAATGAGCCACATGACTCTGTAAAGTTTATTAAAATTTCCTCATGTGGAAATTAGCAAGCAGTCTTCAAAAGACATAATAAAGACCCACACACTTTTGAAAGAACTTTGATTTGAAAACCAATTAATGTACTTTATTATTGTAACTATAGTCATTTCTGCACGGTTTCTTTAGTCTACTGCCCTTGCTATCTTCCCCACCAAGGTGATTTGCACCACCGTTCATCTAGAATTGCGAAAGTTACTCTCCATTCTTTCTCCTTCTCTCACATCCAAGTAGAGGTCATCAAGTCCTGAAATCCTGACATTCTAACCTGGATCATCTCTCCAAGCTAACTCCCTCCTCTCCACACAGCACCTGAAGCCTTGGTTCCATCCCGTATTACTTCTCTCCTCAATTATTACAGTAGACCCTTACTTGCTCCTAGGCTTTGAGATCTTGCACCCTTCCAATCCATCTTCCACAAGGCTACTAGAATACTTCTCTAAAATTCAAATCTGTGACATCACACCTCATATTAAATCTTGATTGACTTTAAAGCAAAAGCAATACTCCTTAAACTAGGTCCTTAGCAATCTCTGCCTTACCTAGTTCCCTTATTTCATCTCCCAACAGTTACTCAAAAACTTCTGGCATTTTTTGTTTTTATTTTCTTAGTATACAGTGTTATTTCATACGTCTGTGCCTTTCACCCAAGCTCTGCCTTCCATCCTACTCGCTTCACAGCTGTACTCCTACCCCTTTTTTGCCTGACTAATCTTTTTTTTTTTTTTGTCCCTTAAGACTGAACTCAAAAGTCTCATCCCCTGTTACGGACATTTATGGCACCTAGTGATGATTTCTGTATACTCGTATTAATTTTGTACTCAGCTACCTCTGTGAATTATTATATTTTTGTACAGATTTCAATTTATTTTGTCTGATTTTCTGGGTGTAAAATTAGATTGTGTGAGAACAGTATTTGATCTACTCTTTTACAGTTTATATGTCTCCAATTTCTTTATCTTCTCTAATTGTATTGGTCTGCTACCCTCACTACAATATTAAGTAATAGCCATGTTAATGGGTATTTATTAATTTCCTTAGAATGCTATAAAGTAAGTAACATAAATTATAAATTAAAAAACAAAACAAAAAAAACCCCTCATCCTCTGAGAACTTATATACACATACCTGCCCCTTAAATTTTAAGGAAAAAATTGGAAGCTAAGTCAGGTAGCTTTCTTCTATGTACATTCCTGAAATGTCCTGTTTATACTTTTGTTAGTGTTCTTGTTGCTATATATTTTCAGTGCTTCTCAAACTTTTTCAAAGCAGTACATCAATGGCACAGGACACTTTATTGGACATACAGCCTGTCTAATATCCTAATTTGATATCATGTCTACTGTCTTAGCTTAAATAATATATAAAATTTACATTCAATTCCATAGAATGGATATTATATTTGGTTTAATACAAAAATGTTTTAATTTATTTGTCCTGGAATAAAACTGGTCTTTGTCAAAGATGGTAGATATCCTGAAATTCCAACTGTTCTCTGTAAGCTGACCTGTTTTGTTCTCCAGACTTCTATATAACCCAAATTTGACAAATTGCAAGCACTTTGATGTCAGGAACTAGGTCTTTTATATCTGGATTCCCAACATTAAATACAGTATCTAACACCTAGTAGATATTTAATTTAATTGAAAAAAATGAATGAAGGAACAAAAAGTTCAGTTTGGGGGGCCAGCCGAGTGGCACATTGGTTAAGAGTTGGCTTGGAACGACAGCTCTGAGCAGCAGGCCCCCGGTTCAGATCCCACATGAGGGCCAGTGATGCTGCGCTCTCTACAGCTAAGATGGTGAACAACAGCTCAACCTGGAGGTGGGCTGCCATGAGTCACCGGCGACAGCATGGCTGCAGCCCCTGCTGCAGTGGGCTTCTGTGAGCTACTGTGAGTGGCTGGCAGCCAGCATGAGCGGCCGTCCAATGGCCAACGAGCAACTGCCTCACCTGGGAAGAGCATAATGATCATACCAACATGGGCCAGTGAAGCGACATCCTCCACAACTAGACTGAAGAACAAAAGGACAGCAACTTGTCTGTTCCCTTTCCCTGATTCCCCAATGCTGTTCTCCTCCCCCAATTCCCTAATTTAAAAAAAAAAAAAAAAGTTCAGTTTGGGAATAATAGTGTTAAATATTAGCATTGTGACAAATTTTAATTTTAATGATTTTTCTTATAGAAGAAGTATAACTAACAACATTGTTAAACCCCTGCATTTTCTTTTTTTTTTAAGCTGAGCCATCTTGCCACCTGTTGGCAGCTCAGCAGCTGCTCAGCTCGGGCCGGGAATCAAACCGTTGTTGCTCAGAGCTCAAACTCTTGAGCAAGCTCTTAACCAACTGAGCCACTTGGCCGGCCCAACTCCTGCATTTTTAAAAATCATTTTCTGGCCTATACTATATAACAAAATTATATTTAACTTTTATAGTTAAAATTATAAAATACACAGAAAAGATCACAAACATATTAAGCTCAATGAATTTTTACACAGTCAACAGTTTTACATAACTAGTACCCATATCATTATTTGGAGTCATTGATTCATCTGTAAGTGGATTATAGGGGTCATGAGCACTATATAGTGGAGTTGGAGATACAGGATCTAGACTCTGCCAGTGATAACTAGCTGGGCCCAGGGACCAGCTACCCTACTGTCTAAACCTCATTTTCCTTCCTTGCAAATTGACGCTATTGGTGACTGTCTCATAACATGTAAGATTGAAATTATAATTGTAAGAAGCAACCCACAGTACCTGACACAGGGTACACACCAGTAAATGAAAGTAGTGGGTGTCTAGATTGTTCTGAATTCTGTCAGATAAAATATAGTACTTAGTCCCTTTCTTCAAATAGTTTATCTGTCTGGTTAATGAGAGCCACACACTGCACACTCTATACTAAGTCTTAAAAAATTGGGGAGTTGAAAAAAAAATTGGGGAGTTGATTAAGTTCTGATACTGCATTATACTAATAATGTTAATTATTTTTAGTTTCATAGTGCTTAGTTTAAATAATGATGTTAGTATAAATGCTAATAATGCAAGTAGTATATTTGGAACAAAGTTTAAGTACTTTATCCTGTTTTTCTACATTTGATTTCTTTTTTAGAGCACTTCACAAACTTTGTAGAAGATGAGAGGGGAGCAGGGCAAGGGTGGGAACAGACTGGTGTGAAGGCTGTGCAATAGTGAGCTATTATGGGTGCCCAGGTTAGAGCAGTGGCAGAGGCGGTGGTGAAAATGTTACAAGACTGTACTCAAAACTTAAAATTTAATAAAGTAAATAAGTTTTTCTGTTGAGGCCAGAGAGATGAGTTTGATACTTTTTTTTTTTTTTTTTCTGAGCCATCCTGCCACCTTGCGGCAGCTCAGCTCGGGCCAGGCATCGAACCACTGTTGCTCAGATTTCAAACTCTTGAGCGAGCTCTTAACCAACTGAGCCACTTGGCTGGCCCAATAATTTTTACTGTTTAATCAAGGATATTCCTAAAGGAAACTGACATCTTTTTTCTAACAACAAGCACATGGCAGAGAAGATTACAAGTAATAGTATAGTTTGGTGCCACTGCCTTGGTTCTTGCCAAGACAGTAACTGTCTTACCCACCATTGCTTTTGCACCATCAATGTAAAATGTCAACACAGCGAAATTATACTGATTTTTAAAATGCACTATTTTCCAGTAACCAGGCATCATTCTCTTCCCCTTTGGCTGCAGACCCTAATTATCTCATGGCTAACGAACGCATGAACCTGATGAACATGGCCAAGCTGAGTATCAAGGGCTTAATCGAATCCGCTCTGAACCTGGGGAGAACTCTGGACTCTGACTATGCACCTCTCCAGCAGTTCTTCGTGGTGATGGAGCACTGCCTGAAACATGGCTTGAAAGGTGGGCTGTGGCCTCACTGAAAATGTGTGTTCAGCTGTTTCCTAACAATACATGCTCAAGAAGAAAAACATTCTTTGCAGAGCCAAAGAATAAGAAGCTAGAATGAATATTAGTCCACTGGAATGCAACTATATGGGCTCAGGGTTGTGGTTGACTTAAAGGACTTATAGGGCTTAAACACGGATCATTAAATGCTAGAGCTGGAAGGGCCATTACAAGTATGTAGTCCAATACGGCAGTTCTGTTTGATAGGTTGGAAATAAGCCTAGAATGGATCATGACTTGCCCATGATCACACAGTGAGTGGAGGCAGAGTTAGTGCTAGAACTCAGATCTCCTGACTCTTGTTTCCATGCCCTTCCCACTTAACCATAAACTTTTGAGTGTAGGACTTGGTCTTGTTCACCTTTGCTTCTTTTTCTTCTCCCTCCCCAGTATTTGATAGCCTGTTTCTGGATTACATATTCTCTTCTATTGAACTATTTACTTCACTAATATCACACAGCTTTAAGTACTATATTGTTAGAATGTTTTGTTATATTATAGGGCTAGTCTATAAATTCTTTATGAAGGAGGAAGGACCAAGTCTTGGGACATAGGGGATTTTTGATTTTCATAAAATATTATGTATTCTGAAAGCATTCATAATTTTAGAAATGTCTGCTAATCTAGGATTAGTTCCCTGAAAAAACGATTGAATAGATGGGAGTGGATTTTTTTATTTGTTTGTTTGTTTGTTTTGGGGGGTAAGAGTGTGTTTTTGTTGTAAAGAATATTAAAATACTGCTTTGTTTTTATCTCCTTAGCTAAGAAAACTTTTCTTGGACAAAATAAATCTTTCTGGGGGCCTCTAGAACTGGTAGAAAAACTTGTTCCAGAAGCTGCAGAGATAACAGCAAGTGTTAAAGATCTTCCAGGACTTAAGTAAGTTTAAGGTTGAATTCTGTTTGTCAGGAAAAACGTTCTTCTAACTGTCTCCCTGAAGAAGGAGACTTAAGACAGTGATGACCGTAATAATTTATTTCATAGCAATCCAAAATGCATATTGTTATGAGTAAGCACTGTTGTGAGAGGATTGGTGATGTAGAGTATTAAGAGAAATATGCTCATGAAGTATAATTATTAACCTGAGAGAGGCTGTCTTTATGTTAAATATCAAAAGTCCTTATTTTTTTATATCACTTATGGGAATCAGTAAATTTCAAGAAATTAGATCAAGGGAAATGGCATGCTGGACTTAAGAAAAAGAATGTGTTTGATGGAGTTTGAGAACCAAGGTTAAAACAGTTGTCAAGTGAACCTCAGGAACTGACACGGGGGCCCTGCCTTAGAACTTGAAAAAGAGTAGTAATCACCTTCCCAAATTAGATTGGTTTAATTTTAATCAGATGAAGGTCTAAGTGGCCTGTGTCTGCATTGTTATTATTTGGGTACTTATATGATCCACACTAAATTTATGAGGATTTACTGATACTAATTGATGGAACATTTTCAGTTTAGCCTCCCAGAGGTCTTGCCTTCAAATTGTTAGTCTCATTCAGTAATTAATTCTTGGCCACAGCACTTGTTCCTAACACTGCCCGAGTCCCCCTGGCCCACGCAAAATTCCTCACATAGGAATGTGATTGGAGAGGTTGTGAGGAGCACCTCAGTGTGCGTGTTCAGCTGGGGGATTATTAGCCAGAGTAAGTGCATCTGTCCCTCTGTGACCCCTATATCTGCTACTATTAGTTGTTTGGTTTCTGTGTTTTTGTAGGACACCAGTAGGCAGAGGAAGAGCGTGGCTTCGATTGGCATTAATGCAGAAGAAACTTTCAGAATATATGAAAGCTTTGATCAATAAGAAGGAACTTCTCAGGTACGAACATCTTCTTGTTGAACTTTGTTCTTTACTTGCTCTGTTCTATATCATATGAGGTCAAATCACATAAATTTACCATTTTTGTAAATTAGAAACAGTTGATTCATAATAATTTCACATAATTCAACTGACACCTTCCCCCACAACTCACACATACTCAAGAATAGGTGTTTTAGTCTGTCTATAGTGGCATATATTTAGTTCTTTACAGGGCAGTCCAAAACAACACCTCCAGAAAAGAGGAAAGGCTTTTGATGCCTTTGCATGTACCCAGGTTCAGTAAGACAGGAAGTTGACATGTAACATTAAATTCAAATGCAACACACACACAGATTTTTTCCAGATGGATCATATATACAAATGGGAAAGGGAAAACAATAAAACGTGTAGAAGAAAACATAAGGTACACAAAATTTTCTTTTTTTTTTAAAGATTTTTATTGGGGAATTGGGGAATGGCAACAGCGCTGGGGAATCAGGGAAGGGGAACAGACAAGTTGCTGTCCTTTTGTTCTTCAGTCTAGTTGTGGAGGACATTGCTTCACTGGCCCAAGTTGGCACCATC